ATTCAGGCCCTGCTTATATCAGCGTCATCTGTGTTGGCATTTCCGTTGCAGTGACTCTCAGAGTATATTAAATCTGGTTGTAAAAATTTTAATCAAACTAAATATGCACCAAAAACAATATACAGAACCTTTCTGTATTAATGCAGTCTCAGTTTTCAGTCTTGTACAATGTGAACACAAAATAACTGGGAACAGGACATGAGGTGCTTTTGCAGGCACTGGGAGACTGCCTACTGCAAACTAATTAATTGCAGAATCCATTAGACGATCCTGACTATTCAAATTTTCACCTAAAGGTTATAYGGTAATCAATTATGCAGCTTATTAGCATCATCTTGAGTACAGATGTGCTGCTTTGTACCAAGTGTCACGCAATTAAATCTAAACCAGGCTAAATAACATCAAATTATCACAGTTGCCAAACCTGAACTCTGACTTAGATACATATTAAAAAAATATTTTTGAGGATAACTCTGCATCTCTCATCCRGGCATAACCAATTACAGGGAGTTTCATAAGCAGGTAACATTTTTGTTTCTCATATCCTATGWCTGAAAGTCTCTACATTTCACAGACAAATATGAACAGAACCTTTYTGTCAGATAATCTCTTTGTTAGGGTTGTTGTGAAAGTGAAGAAATGGGTGTGTGGAAGCTAACCTTGGGTAAGAGCGGGTGGAGGCTGTTTGAAATCCCTGGAGATCTCCTAAAATCTCCTTGCACACAGGCAAGGCTGTGATCAGGACAGAGCACATGAGATGTTTGTTTCTGGGGGTCCAGAAAACCAGAAKTTGGTGATCTGATTGATCTTTTAATKATGCTRATTTTAATCTGTTCTYCTCCTGTCCTCAGTGTRAATAATGGTGTAAACCCTTTGTGGTCTTCCAGCTGTATATCTGATTTAGGACAGGAGTGGGCCCACTCATTTGTAAACAATGAAGTAACAACAAGCATTGTCGTGTGACAACTACTGATTTCTCTCCACTGTACTGGCATTGAATTTATATTTAATGTTTTCTTTGAATTCTTTCCCTTCTCTTTTTTTTTGGTTTTTTTTTGTTTTGTTTTGTTTTTTTTGTTTTGTTTTTAATTGTTTTCAAGAAGAAGGGGTGGCACCAGAAGAGCCATCTTGCTTGAGCCTAGTGTTCTTCACTTTTAAACAGGTGGTGATGGCTTGAATTTGCCTAGAGTTTTTTTAGGGGCAGGGGATTCATAGGTGTTAGAAATTTTTTCATATAGCTGATTTCAATCCTGTTCAAAAAGTAAACTCAGATATCAGATATTGTTTTTCAATATACTCCTGCACACCCCATCTTTTTCAGAGTGCAATATCCAAATAAAAATGCTTTCTAAAAAGTAAGTAAAGGAGTACTAGAAGTAGAAATCGGAAAAAGAGTGAAAATAATGGAGTTGCCTGAGAAGCAGAATGAGGTGACCTTTAACATGGGRGTTCATGGATGATATTACTGTTGTCAAAGAGGACTGCACAACACTGAAAGAAGCCAAGAACTGAGAGTGTATAAGCGCAACAGCCAGAAGGATAASCAGGTTGTAATTCCTCCCCCTGGAGAAATTTCCTGGCAGCACTTTCAGCAGGTTTGAAAAGAGAAAACAAGTTTCAGACTGTAGGAGGTCTTCAGAGTTGAGCAGATGTTTTCAGGTTTTGTTTCTGGTTTGGGGTTGTGGTGGTTTGGTTTTTTTGGGGTTTTTTTTTTTGTTTCTTTTCTTTGTTTCTTTTGTTGAATGAGAAACATTCAACTTTAAAATGTGGGAGCTGTTGCTCTCAAGAAGCACTCCCAAGAGCAGCCCAGCTGCATTCTGTGTRCCACCTGTACACCCCTAGTTAACCATTAATTTGTGCCTCGCATTTGCCTCTGAGGGCTCCCAAGTATTTGACCAAGACCAGATAATAAATGGTGCAAGTACTTCATCATGTCTCATGCTCCTGTGTCCAGGCTTGCTATGAATTCARTCTTTTCCTCTGCTGGTCTAACAGCTGGCATATAATTTCTGTATGTGTGGGTAGTAAGTGTATCCTTACAGAGTGTGAAGGTTAAGAGAAAATGAGTCTATGAAGGTTTGAGGAACAGAGTGGGAAAGTTTCCAGTTCACACCTGCTAACTGGTTATTACTGTGCTGACAAACAAGCCTCACATGGTTATTTCTCAGTCCAGACTCAGCTGACAGCATTCTAGGACACCTCTACAGGTGCCACAGGTTGAAATTTCCTCGTGCCAGCTTGGGTACTTAATAATAAAGGCTCTGGTCTTCAGCAGAGTCTTCCAGGGATTACAGAAGTACTACTTTCAGAAGTACATTGAGTGTACTTAAAATAAGCAGTAAACAAATCYGTTTCTTCACTCTCTAACTGCAGGCCAACCCAGAGAAGGACTGAAACACCAATGGGAATATAGCAAAACAAATTTTTGCTTTTGTCTGTAACATGAGTGATTTCATGTGAACAGAGTGCCTTCCCTGGGGCTTTGGATCAGAGACGTTTCAGGTAATGCATCCAATACAACATCTGCAATCATAGATTTGGGATGAGGGCACAGCTAATGGCATGCAGTAGTGAATTTCTCATGTAACAAGAAAGTGTGTGAGAGAGGGAAAAAAAATCAACTTTCATTTTTCCCTTTTTTTTTCTTCACCAGTTAATTTGCACCTTATCAGCGGGGAGCTAGAAAGTGTTTGGAAAAGGATGAAAGCAAATCCATAATGAAGCTGCGTGAGTGAAGTAGTTTCCATTTTCTTTTGGCCTCTGAGAGCACCAGGGAAAGTGTGGGAGTGGCTGGGTGCTGCTGCAGATGCTGCCGTGTTGATGAGACGAGAGAGGATCCAAGYGAGGTGCATCCAGCAGTGAGTTCCTCTCCTCCCACCACCCCGGCTTAGGCATAGCACTCGTGCTGCATCCACCCTGCCAGAACCCCCTGGGTTAGACGGGACCCTGGGCAAACACCCTCCTACAGCTTTCTTCCCTGCTGCCACAAGCAATCTGTCACTCCTCTCCCCGAACCACCCTCCACCTACGTACAGAGCCATAACTGTAAGGAACGCCCTCTTCCCTCCTCCTTTTTTYCCCCACGAGCCTGTTCTCCGTGGGTGAAAAATGCTATCTTCCCAGAGATCTGGTCACCCCCGAATTTGGCTTTGAGACCCAAGCTGTTTGATACCTTTTAGGACTACMGCTTGGAAAGCTCTGCTTGCAGATCTATTGTGTTAGTTTTTCAATTGCGTATAATTGCACATGTGCAGGTGGGAAGGGGCTATTTRCTTCCTACTCGCTTTGATACGCCTCCCTTCCAAAGAGGACCGCTTCCTTCCCTTCCTGCTCTCAGCCTCCCACGCATTTAGCAATGAGAAATGCTGCAGAAAACTGACCAGCTACCAGCCCGCCCACCTGAGGAGGAGGAGCACTAGCAGCAGCAGCACATTTCTCTCGCTCTCAGCTTTTTAAACACAGTTAAAAAGAGCTGTAGCGTGGGTGGAAATAGCTGTAGGGAGTGTGTGTGGGAATGGGGCCAGAGGAAAGTGCATTTTTTCTTCGTAGGACAGTTAACTTCTAGTGGCCCAAAAAAATACCTCAAAGAGATCTCATTGCTGAAGGTGTCTTTGGCTATATAATTATTTCTTAAGGTTGAGTTTCCCAGGTCAGGAAAGAATGAAGCAGGGAATGAAGCAAGCGATGGCGGGGAAGCTGGCCTACCAGACTTCAGGAGTCTGCTTAGCAAATGCTATCTGTATTGCATCTCTTTGTGTCATCACGTCTGTTGTTCTGCTCTCTACTTGTGTGCTTGATTCTGTGAGAGTCAGAGCTGCCTGTATGTAGGAAGAGAAAAAGGCACATGGTTTTCACACAGTGTGGGTCTGTATTTCAAAATACCGTCCCTGCTGGACCTCTTGAAATAGCACTGTCCCAGAATATCCGTTAATTCAAGATTTACTCTCTGTGCTGCTATAAGAAATTAAATTCAAKCTTATTTGTGTTAACTGGTTGTTATTTGAGGTGCTTTGCTTGTATTACATGAAAATAGCAGTAGAACTAGTATAGGAAGACAGAACTTTTATGACTTGTGAT